CTACAGAATGAAATATCTATTTTATGTACCTGTGGAATCTTGTAAAGACCTAAGACATCTGCCATGGATGAGGAGGTGTGAGAGGTAAGTCCCCCAATGACTCCTACTATTTTTTTCTGAATTCCACATATGTAGTTGGGGACAAAGTGATGTGATTTAAAGAGCAGATCCAGAGTGTTTTGGTAGGTCATCCTTGAATTAGAATAGCTATCATAGATGTGGAATCCAAGCGTGGCATTGGGCAAGATCTTGGGATTCCCATTGATCTCATCAACAGCAAACACCAAGGCGAGGATGTGTTGGTAGAACTTTCTTGTCACCCTACAAATAAAGTGTGTTACTATTTTATGGGGAATAAAGCAGTGCACAACATCGAGATGTGAGAGATTCAACTGCCCCTGTTAAATATTCTTGTAAATATCAAATTGTTTTGTCCTTTTAGAGTTAATATTTGGATATTTCCTCTATCCAAGTCAGATTTTTTTATTTGTCTGAACACATAGGTTGAGAAGCGATCTTCACTTATGAAGCTTCAGGTTTTTTAACCATGTTGCTTCTTTTCACTAGAAACAATAACTGTGCCACATGGCTATGCTACAGTTATAGTACATAGCTGTCCCTAGCAATAGAAATGTTATGATATTAAATAAAGGAATCGGCAGCTGCCATTTTGAATAGGAAAAATGCCCAGTGATGAGCTAGCAGTGATGATGGTAAAAGGCTCTCCTCCCATTATTACTAAGCGTATTTAAAACATATCCCTGATTGTTTGCAATGTACTTTAGACATGAGTTCCATTTTGTACCATCCTTCACTAAAGCAGCTCAAGCTGGGCTTCATAGCTCTCCTCTCTCCCCTTGCATACTCACAAAAGTGCCTAAGCTGCAGGTGACCCAGAAAATGGAGATTTGAACCCAGAAGATTGCCATGATGTATTACTGTGGGCAGGAGGATCAATGGCTAGAGAGCAAGTGGTGGTGATCTGAAACTGCATCAGCTCAAACACAGTTGAAGTTTCATATCTTCATCTTTACCAGCACTGCGTCCACAACCAGCTATTTGGAAGAACTTTTCAGTGTTGAATATTCTTTTGTCATCTGGCCAAGAGAGCATTTCTATATAACAGTTAGCAGCCTGCTGCTACGTCTTTGGAAGCACATTAGAGATGGAATCAGTCTCAGACAGAATTGCATAATACTATGGAGCCTGTCAAATGGTATGCAGTGCACTCTCTCTTCTATTTTTGCTGGATCAGTTTTGATTATTGTGGCCAGAGGATGTAGTGAATGCATTTGAAGAAATGAAGTTGTCAAACTGACCCCTTGACCCTTGCCTGTCTTGGATTTTTAAATGGAGCTTTATAGGATTGACTGGCAGTGGCAGACTTGGGTACTATGGCGCCCTTAGCGAGGATGAAAATTTACACCCACGTAGACCTAGAGTCCTAGAGTCCTTCCACCTAGTTCTCAAAGCTGAAAAATTGCTAACTAGGCTTTGTGAAGGAGGCAGGAGGACTCCAGGACCTTGTCAGATGCTCATGGCCCTCTCCTCAAGCCCAGTGCCTGGCTTGCCCAGCTTTGAGGCAGTGCTCCCATGGCTCTGACTCCGATGTGTATACACTGCTCGCACAACCCTAATTCTGCCTCTTTGACTGGGGAAGTTCAGTGAGTTTTCTATGCTTCACTGGATAATAGAGAGATGCTGTCCAACATGAATCAGGTTATGGTGTGTCTCCTCTTTACTCTGAACCAAGAATAAAATATTTGTATAATTTTTTACGGCTGTTTTATTTTTAAATAAATTAAAAATATTTTTTCATAGCACTTTTTCTAAAGCAAAAGTACTTTCTAGACAGATCTAAATGTATAAAGCATAAAGGAAATAATCTTAAGGTGCATTTACTTACACTAGACTGCCAACAAAGTCGTGAGATGGGTGTTGATGGAAGGAAATGCTGGGGAATACGTAATGGATATAAGACACTATCCCACCAATGATAAGGTCACCTGGTTCATACCACTCATGTGGAATATGCACAGGATTATTTCTGCTGCAAACAACAGTGTGCACTTGGGGCACCATATTGGGAAGCAGTAGGAGAAGCAGCAGCAACAACATCCTGATAACAAATATCCCTCTACACATGGACTCTCTACAATATTGTTACTATCATCAGCCTGACTTGAACAGGATGTATTTGGTGACAGCTGACTTTGGCAATTCTGTTGCCAGTTAAAGGGTCAGGAATCCACTTTCTTTTTAACTTTATCACTGTTACTAAAAAAATTAATTGAATGTGAATTAATCTAGAGTGATTTGAAACCTGACCTATACCATGAAAGAGGGAAACTGACTGAAATAACAGAGCCTGGCCTCCTCTCCCCTCCCTTACCATTGCAGTGAATGGAACGCTAAGGTGCTTTTAATCATTTCTGATTTAGTTTTTGAATCTTTATTTTTCATTATGTCTTCTGGTGCTTTGCCAGGTGAATTGATTATAGTAATTTTAATAATTACAGGTCAGATAACTTTTTTTGTTTTTGACTCTATAGTGCATCAGAAATGATTTCCAAAGTAAACATATATGTCACATCATACAATCCTAGATTAGGAAGAGATTTCTACGGTCATCAAGTATTATCCGCTTACTATTGCAGGACATCCATAACTCCAAACAAAAACACCCCACCTGTAGGCAGCCATCCATCTTTTTCCTAAAATTTCCTCTATCAAAATGTATTTAGAGGGGAGCCAACGGCATTCTTTCCCCATTTGTCTAATTTCCTCCAGCTATTGGTCCTTACACTCCCCTTACTCTCGCTGTCATATGTAACATCGATTACACTTACTGAAACTTGGGAACAATGATGGAAAGGATCCAAATCATATCAGGATATAGAGAACCTGGAGAACACAGCCGAACTGCTTTTGAAAGAGCACATATATACAGTTTGAAGCAGAGTGGCATGCTAAGGAAAAACTGTGCCATCCGTCTTTACTCTTGTAAGAAGTAGTAATTCTGAAGACTAGGTGGTCTATCACTGTCAGGCAGTGCTAGGCAGTATTTTCCCCTCCAGATGTTTCTGGATTACAGCTTTCATCATCCATGATAATAATAGCCAATTGTAAGCTGATATGAGCTGTAATCCAGCAATATCTGGAGGGCCACAGATTGGGTACCCTTGGTGTAAGGAAGGTTTGGGTTGTTGAAAAAATGCCTCATGTTTGGTGTCATGCTGAACTGTCAGGGCTTTGTTTGGATTTGGATTTGATATCCTGCTTTATCACTACCCGAAAGAGTCTTAAAGCAGCTAACATTCTCTTTTCCCTTCCTCCTCCACAACAAACACTCTGTGAGGTGAGTGGAGAGACTTCAAAGAAGTATGACTAGCCCAAGGTAACCCAGCAGCTGCATGTGGAGGAGCGGAGATGCGAACCTGGTTCACCAAATTAGAGCCTACCGCTCTTAACCACTACACCACACTGGCTCTCTTTCTCAAGAATTTGAGCCCTCTGAGACTGATGCAGTGTCCATGTAAAGGTGAGTCACTTTCTGACTCCCTTTCCAGCCCCAGGTCAAGGCAGGTATAAGATTACAGGTCTGGAAACAACAGCAAATACCAACAGTAGAAGAATGGCGACAGAAGGTAATGGAATATGCAGAAATAGCCAAATTAACAGGGGAAATTAACAGCCAAAAATAGACAACAGGGGAGGAAACATTTCAAAAAGAATGGGAAAATTTATGTCATATATAGGAAAGATAAGATGAAATAGTGAAACCAGTAGAACTGGAAATAAACCTTATAACTGGAAAGATTAGGAAAAGTGATGGATAATGAAAATAACAAGAAGCAAAATGAATAAGGAGATTAATATAACTAAGAGTAGTTGTAAATAAATACAGACAGACAATAAGAATTGTCTAAAGAGGAGGATTTATTAGGTTTCAGACTACACACAATTTCCCTGGGATAGTGCCTGCCTCCACTTCTTGCCTGATATTCTTTCCCCACAGCCACAACCCAAACTGCCCAAATTCTTCCATAATTTGGGTGGAGACTTGGTTGAGTCTATCGCATGGCCCTGATAGATTGAGCAATGCTCTTGCATAATATAAGGCAGTTTACAATGTTCCCTTTCCCCTTTCCTCTATCTGCAGTTTCCAACACACACCAACATCTGCTCAGGAGTTTCAGAACCTATTGGGAAAGTGGATGCTGGAAAAGTAGAGTAAGGGATTAAAATTGTTGGATATGTTGGATATGATCCATAGTTTCATTCATACACATAGTTCCAATTCATTTCCAGCTCATATGTAACTGTGCTGGATGCCAAGAACATAAACGATAAGGCAAGCTCTCTCTTTGACCCCCACATCTGACACTGGCCAGAAAGTTTCTAGAACCTAACTCCCAACATAAACTACAATCTCTTCTGCCATTTATACATTGCTTCATATCAGCTGTTCTCTGTTATTCACTTCAGGCCTTATCACAATAATGTAGCATTTAGGGAAAAAGAGGCATGCCAGCAAGCCAGTACTGGAAACCAAGATGGAGGAAATCTCCACAGCCACCATGTATCTTCCTCTGGTGCTCAGAGGTGCTACGGATATCATCCATAGTTTTTTCATACACATAACCCCTGTTCATTTATACCTGATATGCAACTATGCTGCATATCAAGAAAGCCACGTCTGAAATAGGGAGGAGGTGGGGTTGCGGGCTTCACGGCTGGCTCGAGGGCTTGGCCTCGCCTACTTAGGTCTGGCGCGGCCGAGGCTCTTCCTATTTCCCGCGCCACAGCTGACACATAATCCCAATTCATTTATACCTCATATGCAACTATGCTGCATATCAAGAACATAAACGATAAGACAATCTCTTCTGTTGTTTTGATCATTTCAGGTAACATCCTTTCTTGAAAAACCACAGTGAAATGACCCGGCTAATAAGTCTACAGAATCTAAATACAGAAATGACAAAATATTCTGTTATTTACATCTTTCTCCGTATCAGCTGCTCTCTGTTATTCAGCTCAGGCCTCACCACAATAATGTAGCATTTAGGGGAAAAGATGCAACCCAGCAGCCCAGCACTGGAAGCCAAGATGGAGAAAATCTCCACAGTCACCATGTATTTTCCTCTGGTGCTCAAGTATGTGGGAATAAAGGAGAACCAAACACTGCAGAAGACCAGCATGCTGAAGGTGATGAACTTGGCTTCATTGAAGCTGTCTGGCAACTTCCGGGCTAAGAAGGCCACAGTGAAGCTGATAATGGCCAGGAAGCCCATGTAGCCTAAAACACCATAGAACATGAGAACTGACCCCTCGTTACATAAGAATATAATTTCTTCACTGCTTGAGTGCATGTCCACATCTGGGAATGGGGCAGAGGTTGCCAGCCAGAAGACACAGATTCCTACTTGAATCACAGAGCAGGAAAGGACAATGGAGTAAGCCAGTTTTTTGCCTACCCACTTCCTGATTGTGGAATCTGGCTTGGTAGCCATGAATGCCAAAACCACTGAAATAGTCTTGGCCAAGATGCTAGAGAGGGCCACAGAGAAGACAATGCCAAAAGCCGTTTGGCGGAGTGGGCAGGTTGCCTTATTAGGCATTCCAATGAACATCAAGGAGCACAGGAAACACAAGAGGAGGGAGATGAGGAGAATGTAAGTGAGGCTTCTGTTATTGGCTTTGACGATGGCAGTGTCCCGGTGCTTAATGAAAATGCCAAGTACCATAGCTGTGATCAAAGAGAATAAAAGTGCAGAGAAAGTTGAAATCATGGCCAAAGTTTCACCAAAGCCTAGGACATTTGGTTTCTTGGGAATGCACTCATTCTGCTCTTCATTTGGATATTGATGCAGAGGACATCTGGCACAGGTTTCCAACCCTGAAAAAAGGTTGCATGACAATTGGATACAATCTGGAATATGCTTAAGAGTGTGTTTTTTTAAACTCAGGACACCCCTTATCATAGTGTTTCCCCAAGGAAGATGTTTCAAAACTTCTAGTTCAAATGCTTGTGCCCTAGATGCTTTGAAAATAAAGTTATTCATGAAATCTTACATTTCATATATGGAGAAACTATTATTTTGGTGGTCCTCCTCCATTTTCTTATAACCACAGATACTTCATGATGAAATCAGAGAAATATTATAGCTGAAATCTTGGAAGCAAGAGGGGTGATTTTTATAGGATTTTAACACTGTCCCCAAAGAGGAACAGGTCTCAGAGAAAAAACCGCCACTTCTATTCCATCCTCCCTTCCCCAAAGCTTTAGTGTTGTCTTCCAGGACAAAATGTATGTACAGTGGTACCTCGGGTTAAGAACTTATTTCGTTCTGGAGGTCCGTTCTTAACCTGAAACTGTTCTTAACCTGAGGCACCACTTTAGCTAATGGGGCCTCCCACTGCCTCCACGCGGCCACCACGCGATTTCTGTTCTCATCCTGAAGCAAAGTTCTTAACCTGAGGAACTATTTTTGGGTTATCAGGGTCTGTAACCTGAAGCGTCTGTAACACAAGGTACCACTGTATGAAATTTCTGTCTTGTTGCATCAAAACGGACTTGAGGTGAAGCTACACTAGTGGTTTATAAAGTTTAAATGCATTATTAAAACGTGACACCTCAGCAGTTAGCCACCAGCAATGGGAACCTGCATTAAACATTATGGAACATCATATTTAATAATGTTTAAGAGATCAATGTAGATACAATGATGGAAAATCTTTACGTTACAGATAAAGTCACATTTTGATGGTTTACTCCCTAGAAGGTTAAGATAATTTCTCCATAGTGGCAGCTTTTACTGAGACTGAAGGAAAATCAATATACTATTTTTAATAAACAATATAAATTGAGGCCATACAGAGCAAACCCCATTGTCAATTTGTTCAGAATTTACTAAAATAACTTGTATATGGTAATATGGCATCTCTCACCCTCCTCATTTGAAAACATCCCATGAGGACATGGATCACAATCATAACAACAGAACTTCTTGCCCTCCTTCATTTTCTTCTCATAACCAGCACGGCAGTTGGCATTACATAATGAAACGGGTGGCACCTATCCAAAGATATAGGAAGAGGTTAATATTAAGAAAATGTTTCAGGGATTCCATCTAACATCAGAAGATCTATCATTAAATAGGAGGGCCAGAAATGTTAAATGTAGGATCCATACTCTCAATATATGCAAAAGAATCTCTTCATCCTTCATATAAAGGAAATGGGAATGGGATTTAGCAAATATGGGGTTAACAGTCCTGAAAGCAAAATGGACGTGGGCATTAAGACATTCCAAAAATGTTTATTTGTGTAAACCTGAAAGATATATTGCCTGCCTGCTCGCCTTCTATCTCTTGCAACACCATCCACCAGCCTCTCTTTTCTTCCCTCCAAGCTAAGCTTTGCACTCTACAACACTTACAACAGTACCAGCAGCTAACTAGTGATGTGGAACTGCACCGCTGCTCTGATGGCCAACGCAAGTGGTGTCATGGGCCAGGAGTCGGCTTCACCTACTGAGCAGCAGCCTGAAGTAGCAGACGGCAAAGTGACTCCACCTGCTGCTGATCAGCCTTTTTGCTCCTGAAGAGAACCTGCTGGCTCCAGCTTTCTTAAGCAGGGTTTCCAGCCTCAGTCAGTTGCTGGAAACAACTTTTGCCATTCCTGACCAGACCTTGCTGCTCATGGTCTTCTCGTGACCTTGGTTCTCGTGACCTTGGCCCCTTGACTTTCTTGATCCCCAGATTGTCTGACTATGTGAACTGTAATACTCCTGAGGTTAGGACTGGACTGAACCGGGTACAGTAATACCTCCCTGAACGTCCACCCCATTGAGAGTCCATTCCGCTGAACGTCTGCAGCAAATCCAGAAGTACGGGAACGGGTTACTTCTGGGTTTGCCGCTTGAGAATGCGTGTGTGTGCAGAACAGCCCTTTGTCATGCATCCCTATCACTGAGCATCTGGGACTCTGCCTCCAGTCCAGTACCCCCCTGAGATGTGGCTGGTTGGCTGGCTGCTCCCTCCTCTGAGGGAGCACAGGACCATGACAAGCAGCTGGATTCCTTCCCTAGGCATGCCTCGCCCTGCAGCCCATGGAGTCATTGGATGGGCAGCCGGATTTCAAGCCACTCTGAGCAAGGCATGATTTGGGGGGCTCCTCCTGGGTCTGTGGCAGGGGCCTACCTGACAAACCCCTCCCTACACTCCTGCTTCTGTCATTTCAATTCAATACTAGGGTCTCAAGTGGCATCAGAAAAACTCATGAAGATTACAATGTTCATTCACAAAGATACATTTAGCTTAGCATTCTATCTAATGCCACTACGTAGAGAGCTGCCTTGAACAAACAAACATATTGGACAACATTCTTTGCTAGCCATTGGTCCTTCTTAGTTTGGCATGTCGTCCTTGCATGTTGCTCTTTTCAAAGGAATGGTTCATTTCATATTTACTAATACAGTGGTACCTCAGTTCTTGAACTTAATCTGTTCCAGAAGTCCGTTCGACTCCCGAAGCTGTTAAAAAACCCTAAGGCGTGACTTCTGATTGGGTGCAGGAGCTTCCTGTACTCAAGTGGAAGCCACATCAGACGTTCAACTTCCTGAAAACATTCGCAAACCAGAACTCTTACTTCAAGGTTTGTGGAATTCGGGCGTCGATTTGTTCAGGAGCCAAGCCATTCGAGAACCAAGGTACCACTGTAGAATTATTAGTAGCAGTGTTATTAGTAGTGGGCAGCACTTCCCTTTTCTCCTCAAGTGGCAAAACTAGACATGCCACCCCATATGCATTGATTCCCTTACCTGAGTGAAGACTCTGTGCCATTGGATTCCGTCCCCATTAAGGGTGAGCTCTTTTCCAGGAGGGGCCTGAGGATCCAGCTTTCCGACTTTGACCCTGACATAGGAATTATTTGGGAAAGTGACCAGGTTTGTAATATCAAATCCACCTGCTAATTCTCCATTTTCATTTAATGTGATTTCATCCCCAGCACTGTTGTTGAATGAGATTCTGTGCAGAAATGAGTGCAGCTAGGTGGAAAGAGAATCAAAAGGTCTATGTAGTCTTGTAATAGCCTTACTAAGACAATTCAATAGTTTTCATGGAAAAAATTACAGTAAGTTCTTTTCCTCCAGGGGTCCCCCCACTTCAGTTTCCAATGGAGAGGACCCAGATTTCAACAGCAGATAAAATAGAGAGGGAAATCATAAATCAGTGTAAACTCAACAGTCATGAGATATAATAAATAGCAAGATGAAAGATTTTTTTTATTATTATTAAAAGATGATCCAAAAAGAGCTTCCTGAAGAGAATCAAGTATTTTTGTCTTAAGGCAGTCTTTAAAAGAATCTCTTTTCCCAATTTTTAAAAAATAATTCCAGTAGCACCTTAAAGACCAACTAAATATAAGCTTTCTAGGTACGAGGTTTTGTGTGCATGCACACATCTTCAGATACTCTGAAGCTGAGGTCACTACAACCTTATAACTGTTGATGACTGTTAATAATGGCAGTTGTTTCCACAGGGAAGGGCAAGGGATGTAAGGTGCTACTGGAATTATAAATATTTTTGGGGAAGTATTCTTTTAAAGACTGTTTTAAGAAAAAAAGACTTGATTCTCTTAAGGGAGTTCTTTTTGGATCATCTTTTAATATTTTTTTTAAAAAAATCTTTCATCTTGTTATTTATTATGACTATGACAGACCAACACGGCTACCTACCTGAATCTATAGTCATGAAATATGTATATAAAGGATGTAGACCTGTTTCCTTCAGAGCAGCCTTTGATAAGATTCAAGATATAGAAGGGATTTGAGATGATGGGCAGGAAAAGAGTCAGGTGCTCGTGTTCTCAAGACATTATATTACTGCAACATGGAAATGTGTAGCTGTAGCCCTCATGTTAGGCGCTTGAGTTTCTTAGTTCAGGGCATCCATGATTTCTGTTTGTGTGTAGCTGTATGTTGCTCTGTATTAGTTACTGTGCATTTAGTCAATGTAAGCCCTCTTCTGATAACCAAGAAACCTCTTTTTGAGCAGTCTTGTGTGAGTATAGGTTCCTTGGTAATAGTGACTATTTAGGACACACAGTAGAGCAGTGTGCAATTGTTTCCCCATATGAAAGTCCTCACCTCTAAAGGGAATATGTTCTAGGTGGACATGTGAAGGGGCTCCCACAGCAATCAGTGGCAGACTAGCTACAACTTTTGCCACGCCTCTAGATGTACTGGACTCTTCCACTAGCCATCACATATCCAACACAAGTGGAGGGCATCAGCTCTTGGCTACATCATGTCACATGCTTTGTTCTACACAGGACATAAATGAGAGGGGTTGTGTTGAAGATATACAAAATGTCCCTAGAATTCATGCTCTGCTATAAGAAAGCAGCCCTCCACTGACAATGAATCTTTGCTGACCATGCTTAAAGCTTGGAAGGAAGAAGTAGGTAAACTGTCCCTAACCCCATCCCTACTAATACCCCTGGCACACCACCCACTATTCCACCATGCAGCACAAAATCTCCAGATAAAAACATGGCAGGCCAAAGGCTTATACTGCCTAGCAGACTTCTACAAAAACAGCAAACCCTTATCAACACAAGAAATACAAGACAAACTAGGGGCTACCCAGATGTCCTGGCTATCCCATCACCAAGTACATGCCCTCCTAAACAACCCAGTAGTAATATCTGCAGAAACCAGGCCCTTGACAACCTTCCAAAACCTCCTCCTAACATCAAACTGACACAGCAAAGGGATGGTATCCACAATATATGAAATACTGCTCCAAAATCCCACATCCCCCTTGACATAATAAAAAAAATATGGGAGGACAACATAGGCCATGAGATTAACCCCACCCAATGGACCAAAATGTGGTCTAAACCTCCCTTTAAATCCATATCAGCAAAAAGGAAAAAACTCACTCTGAAACTCACTTACAGATGGTACCTAACACCATGGAAACTAGCACTAATACACCCAGGACCCTCACCAAGATGCTCAAGAGGATGCACCTCCACAGGCACATACCTCCATATATGGTGGGAATGTCCCCTAATCCAGCCCTTCTGGACAGCAATGATAAAAGAAATATGCAAAATAACTAAGCAGGTATTTGTAGTCACCACAGAACTGACCCTACTAAACATATTCCAAGATAATAATGCCCACTCACATGGTAAAGAGCTGATAACCCACCTTCTCTCAGCAGCCAGAAACATCACAGCCAGACCCTGGAAAGACCAGTGGTATAAAATAGTATGGGAAACAGCCTTATTAGAAAAATGAACCAATAAACTGAAACTGACATGTGGACAAATAGAAGAAGACGCCTTCACCCCGTTATGGTTCCCCTTTATCACATACGTAGCCCGACAACACAATAACAAGAATCTGCCAACAGCATACAAATCAATCTGGCTAACCTGATTCAAAAATACCCCCCACCTCACTACAGCTAACCAAAGACAAACAACCACACCCTCAGCCACCCCCAACCTCTCTCAACAACAAGCAAATATAACAAGTGTATAGTCAGAGAACCCATACAAGTAACCCCACACATACACTAAGTAGAATAGAAGAATAACCACCCGACCCATTCCACCATCCCCTCTTTCCCCCTCTTTTCTTCCTAACAACCCCCCCTCTGTTCTATCCCCTTTGTTTCTCCTTTGTTTAAACCAATTCATGAACCAAGAACTTATACATTGACTAATGAAACATATGTTGCAGATATTACTCCACATTTATTATGCTATTTTTGTGATATACAAAAGACATGAGAAAATTGGTATACTTATTTGTATAACATTATTCTTGTTTATAAAACCCAATAAAAAGTTATTTTTTAAAAAAATCTTTGCTTTTATGGAAGTCAGACAAGGCATGTTCAAGCAAATATTTTCTAGAATCATAGGATCATATAATTATAGAGTTGGAGGGGATCACAATAAAATTAGTTATTGTTCATTTTGATGTATTAAGATTTATTATGTTATTTATTATAAATAAATCACAACCCATATTGTACATCAATGGATTGCAAAACACTGAGCATGTTATAAAGTAAAGACTTTGTAACAGGAAACACTACCTGCCAAGGCTCTACATTCTGAAGAAAGAGTCTGTTTCCACCCTTTAACCTTTTGCAGATGGCTTCAGATGAGCACCTAATATGTAATGCATGTGCCAGAGCATAGACAGCATTATAGATACTGTAGCTGTGGCCAGTCATGCTCATTTCAAAAAATGGTGCAGGGAGGCTCTCCAGCAACTCCTCTCCAGTACATGTACCGAAAATAGCTGACATTACAGTGGCGTTTGAAAGTGAACAACCAAATGCTTGTTCCCAGAAATCCTTGATAAAACCATATGTATCTTGTACAGAAGGCTTTACACTGTGCAGAAAGTCTGAGAAGTCTTGAATCTCCTTGGAGTGAATTGTAATGGAAATAGCACCTTGGAGCACTTGTATATTAGGGTCAATACCTTTTCTTGCAACATTTGATATGAAATCTATCTGGGCTGCTGTAATCCATACTTTCCCTTCAGGTTTGTTCCTCACAGATTGATGAAGAATTAGCTGAATCATATTCCTTGCAGTAAACACAGCTGTAAGCCATATAATCGAAGTACTTTCTCCATATATAACAACTGCATTTGCTTTGCTTTTTATGAAAGCTTGTGAGAAAAGCTTTGATTGATCCACCATATCAAATATTTTACCGTTGAATTGCAGATAGTATTCTGTTCTTTCTGTGAATGCTGAACAGATTCCATTCTTGAAAAGCATTGGTTCAATGGTCTTCAAGAATTGTTCTCCAGCTTCATTAGCTGGAGTGATGAGCCCAACCCATTTCCATCTGAAATGCAGAAGTAACTGGATAATTCCCTTGTACTGAAGATCTTCATTGGGGACCATTTGATAAAAGGAAGCGAATTTGATGCGATCATTTATGGCCAGTTCAAATGAACCATATGAAATCTGAAGAAGAAAAAAGCCAAACTTTTCCATGTGGAAACGAGAATTCACAACACACTCATTTATCTTATGTAAATTATATGCATTCCATCTTTCAAATCCACCCTCCCATTTACATAGAAAAACACACAAAACAAACAATCTTGCTCATTTATTTATGTAGATATTAATTCCTATTATTGTGGAGTCATCACATGGATTGTGTCAAAGTCAGGAGAGCATTTATCCCTGCTCATTTCAACATACTATCTGGATAAATCAACAAAACTTGATTGTGGAAATGGAGGGAGACAAACCATTGTTCATGTTCTTTTGGTCTATAACCTTTAAAGCACTTGAAGGGAGTTCTCCTCTAGGTTTCCTGAATATAATATGTTTTATTCTTCTGTGATCAACAATAAATCATATCCTATAAAATGTAAGTAAAATACCAGCAGAAATTAAGGCAATTAAAATGAAGTTCAGTAATGTAGTAGAACAACACAAAATTGGTACCACTATTTCTCTATCTCCAAATGCCAGAAAAATAACAAGAAAATTGCTTGTGGACAGAGCTGAATAACATCACACTTCCACAAGGTGGGAATTTCATGATTCCTAGGGAAGAAGAAGAAGAAGAGTTTGGGTTTGATATCCCACTTTATCACTACCTGAAGGAGTCTCAAAGAGGCTAATGTTCTCCTTTCCCTTCCTCCCCCACAACAAACACACTGTGAGGTGAATGGGGCTGAGAGACTTCAAAGAAGTGTGACTAGCCCAAGGTCACCCAACAGCTGCATGTGGAGGAGCCGAGATGCGAACCTGGTTCTCCAGATTATGAATCTACTGCTCTTAACCACTATACCACCCTGGCTGGGAGAGAGCCACTCTTGTCCTGAGTTATTTATGCCTGTGCAAGCGATTATCAACAGCATGAATTGGGATTGGTGCTTTTCAGACATCTAGGACAATGCTTGCAGGATTGAAATAATGTGAGCCCAATCCTCCACTAAATATATTAAACACACAAGTTTCGAAACATGACTCTCTCATAAAAGTTGGTTTATGCACTTACTAACCCCCACAAATATATCAATATATTGCAACCATTTTCCTTTTTCGACTTGATACTTTTGAATCATCAGCTTCCTAATGGAAGTATAGAGTGAACTACGGTATGAAATATCTATTTTTTGTACCTGTGGAATCTTGTAAAGACCTAAGACATCTGCCATGGATGAGGAGGTGTCAGAGCTAAGTCCCCCAATGACTCCTACTACTTTTTTCTGAATTCCACATATGTAGTTGGGGACAAAGTGATGTGATTTAAAGAGCAGATCCAGTGTGTTTTTGTAGGTCATCCTTGAATCAGAATAGGAATCATAGATGTGGAATCCAAGCGTGACATTGGGCAAGATCTTGGGATTCCCATTGATCTCATCAACAGCAAACACCAAGGCGAGGATGTGTTGGTAGAACTTTCTTATCACCCTACAAATAAAGTGTGTTACTATTTTATGGGGAATAAAACAGTGCACAGCATCGAGATGTCAGAGATTAAACTGCCTCTGTTAAATATTCTTGTAAATATTGAAATTGCTTTGTCCTTTTAGAGTTAATTTTTGGATGTCTCCTCCATCCAAGCAAGATTTTTTATTTATCTGAACACAAAGGTTTAGAAGAGATCTTCACTTACTAAGCTTCAGGTTTTTTAACCATGTTGCTTTTTATTACAAGAAACATGCACAATTATTGAAATCATTTCTACACTTCTTTGTCAGTTCTTGTCCCTAGGAAGATAAACTGGTATTAAATGAAAAGAAAGGAATTGGCAGCTGCCATTTTGAATACGAAGAATGCCAAGTGACGATCTGGCAGTGAAGATTGTAAAATGGCTCTCATCCTATTATTACTAAGTGCATTTATGGCTTATCCCTGATTGCTTTCAATGTGCTTTAGACATGACTTCAATTTTATACCACCCTTCACTGAAGCATCGCAAGCTGGGTTTTACAGTTCTCCTCTCTCCCCTTGCATACTCAGGAAAGCTCCTAGGTTGTAGTTGGCCAAGCAAATGGAGATTTGAACCCAGATGTCCCCAATGCAAGTCTGCCATGCTACATTACTGTGGGCAGGAGAATCAGTGGCTAGAAAGCAAGTGGTAGTGATCTGAAACTGAATCAGCTCAAACATGGCTGAGGTTTCATTTCTGCACCTGGTACGTGGTAGGGAAGGGGCAGTGGTGATGACAGCTTACTTCTTCACTACAATTGTGTCCACAACTAGGTGTCTGGGGGCCACATGACTTGGAAAAAATGTCTGAGGAAGTGGACAAATGCTGGCTCCCTTGGCAAGTAAAGCGAGATGAGCAACCCCAGAGTCATTCGTGATTGGACTTAACTGTCAGGGGTCCCTTTACCTTTACCATGATTAAAGACGGTCAAATGGTATTCAGTGCACCCTCTGTTCCATCTTTGCTAGATCACTCTAAATTATTGTGGCCGGAGGATGTAGTGAACGCACTTGAAGAAATGAAGCTGCCAAATTGATCCCTTGCCTGGCTTATGGAAGGAAAAGCAAGGTTCGGGTAGGGTCCTAGAGCTTTCCATCTGGTTCCCAAAGCTGGAAAAGTGCTAACTAGGCTTTGGGAAGGAGGGAGGAAGACTCTAGCACCTTATCAGAGCCCATGCCTCTTTCTCAAAGCCCAGTCCTTGCTTACCAGGTTTTGAGACAGCACTTCCATGGCTCTGGGCCCAATGTATGGCCACTTCTCACAGAACCCTAATGCTGCCCCTGTGACTGGGGAGGTCTAACGAGTGGTTGATGATTCATTGGAGGATGGAGAGATCCCATGTATCTTGGAGCAGGTTATGGTGTATCCCCTCTTTCAGAGTACTGCTCTAAAGTAAGAGTAGAATAGTCTTATAAAATCTTACTATTGGGGTTAATCTTACTTTGGCTTTCAAAGTGAACCAAGTGCTTTATAGTCAGATATAAATGTAGAAAGAATAAATGAAATTATTTAAGAGCCATTTACTTACCTTGGGTGGTCAATAAATAACTGAGATGGGTGTTTATGGAAGGAAATGCTGGGGAACATGCAATGGAAATGGGACACTATCGCGCCAATGGTAAGGTCACCTTGTTCATACCATTCAGGTAGAATATGCACAGGATTATTTCTGCTGCAAACAACAGTATGCACTTGGGGCACCATATTGGGAAACAGTAGGAGCAGCAGCAGCAACAACATCCTCATCACAAATATCTTTCTGCACATGGACTCTCCTTTACCTATCTACAATATTGTTACTATCATCAGTCTGACTTGAACAGGATGTATTTGGTGACAGCTGATTCTGCCAATTCTGTACTTAAAGAAGCAGGCATCAACCTTCTCATTAACTTCAGCACTGTCACAAAGAATTCATTGAATGCTATCATTTGAAATCTAACCAATACAATGAAGAGCAAAAGCTGGCCTCTCCTCTCCTCCCTTACCTTAGCTGTCTATGCAACACCACGGTACTTTTAATCATTTTAGAATTAATTTTTGATTATATTTCATTAGGCCTTCTGTTGCTTTGCCAGGTGAATTGATTATAGTAATTTTAATAATTACAGGTCAGATAACTTTTTGTGCAATGTTTTTTGACTCTTTGGTGCGTCATCAGTAGAACTGCCAAAGTAAACATATTGTCACATCGCAGAATCAAAGGTTTGGAAGGGATTTCCAAGGTGATTCTGTGCAATTGCTTGCTAATGTAGGACATCCAGAACTACAACCAAACCAAGAAAAATAAAAACACCCCACCTGTAGGCAGGCATCCATCTTCTCCCTAAAAACTCCACTACAAAATGTATTTAGAGGTGAGCCAACTGCATCCTTTCCCCATTTGTCTAATTTCCTACTGCTATTGGCCCTGACACTCTCTGACATATGTAACATTGATTCCATTTGCTAGATCTTGCAAACAATGATGGCAATAGTCCAAACCATATCAGGATACAGAGCCACTGGATAATACAGTCCAGCTACTTTTGAAAGAACATGTATATACCGTTTGAAGCAGAGTGACATGCTTGGGAACATCTAAGGAAGTGTCAGGGTCTGGCTGGACGAGGAGAGTAGTGTCAGCCGGTGGCACCTGAGGGGTAAGGAGACTTTGAACCAGGTTCTGTTGTGTTTGCAAAGTAAAGGAAAGATTGAACTCTGATTAATAAGAATACACGCAGAGGCTTGAACCAGCAAGACTCTGGGAAGGGTGCGTATAATCGTGTCTCTCTGTGATTGTCCGATTCCAGCAGCCCATGGCCCAGGCCGTTTTATTCACAAAAGAACTTTTTACAGAGTGTTTGTAAGAACCAATCAGATTTCTTCTGAGCATTTCCACAAACCCACATGGGGAGAAAGTTAAACTACTAAAACTAATTAAGCACAGGGTAAACAAAGAACTACGAAGAAGAGCATTTGACAACTCCAGAGGTCATAAACAATCAGTACACATGATAAGAAGGATGGCCAGGAGGACAGTGACCATTATCACCTTAATGTGAGATCTGTTTCCTGGCCCTAAGATTAACATCCTAAGATTAATATACATCAAGGAAACTTGCCCACTATCTTTATGGCCCAGGATGCCTGCCTGGCAAAGCAACTGCTGTGTACGTGACTTATGAAGAGAGAGAAATGGGCAGCAGAGGCAAAAGGGCATGAAAAGGGCACGGATGTAGAATCTTATGGGATTTAATCAGAAACTATCGTCAATATATCAAACCCAGTCAACACAATGTCTTCATCGTGGACACGATGGCCTGATGTATATTTTATAATTCCTCATGGTAATCCCATCTGACACCTATAAGGTTCAGAGTGGTGGGACATTGAAGAATCATCAGCAGAGAGTGAAGATGAAAGAGAGAGGCTTGAGGTAGCCACGGAGGTGATAGAGAAGGAGTAGGAGTTGTGTCTTCTGCTCTGCTATACAGAATTGATTCATCTCCTTCCCATTCCCCTTCCCCATTCTCAGCTCAGGAACAAAGAGTCGAGAAAAGGCTGGAACACTTAAGAATGGAGGTATTAATAGGGAATGAGAGGGAAAGGAATTTAACTTCTACAACTGACCTGCTTATCTGATGGAAGTGCAGTGTGATATCTCCTTGCTTACTGCGCAATAAACTTGATTACTGTCAAGCCGTGCCTATTTCTGATTATAGCGTTGAGACACAGATGGAAGGGCTTTTCATGAAAGCCTGACAAACAGAGGTTTTCAACCTTTTTGAGTCCACGGCTCCCTTGACCAACTACATTCTTTCTGCAGCACCCCTGTGGGGCTCAGGAGCCCAGTTATGTCACTTCTTGCCATGCAGAGCTGGCAGCCTCCCACACTTTTTCACTTTTTCATGTCTCCTTGGGAGACCTCCGGGCAGCTGCTGCTGCCATTCCTGGTCCGAGCTGCCCCCTTATCTCCTTTTCCCCTAACACTGTTCCACAGGGAAGCACCCCATGGCCAGCGCCTGAGGAACCATTCACTTGGGGAGCTTAAAGCCAAAGCTGTACAAGCCTAAGGGAGGCCGAGTCACAAGAGGGCATCAGAGGACGGAGTGAAGGAAAGAGGGACAGAGGCCAGTGTTTTCCACTGTGCCCCTGTCCATCATTCAAGGCCCCCCAGGATGCCACAGCACACTGGTTGAAAACCACAGGTTCAAGACATTTCTCTCTTACTCTGGTAGGAAGTGTTACTTCAGAAGACTGTCAGGGTGGCCCATCAGTGTAAGGTAGTAATAGGCACTGTTATGCCATCCAGATGTTTCAGGACTCCAGCTTCCATCATCTTTGATAATAATGGTTTGTTGTGAGCTGGTGGAAGCTGCCATTTAGCAACATCTGGAGGGCCACAAATTGACTACCCCTGGTGCAAATAAGAGTGGGGAGTAGAAAAAGGCTCCATCTCTAGGGTGATATTGATCTGCCAGGGGTATTTTAAGTATTAGAGACCTCCGAGTCTAGAACAGTTTCTATGTATGGCAAGGTGAATCACTTCCTGTCTCCCTTCAAAGCCCCGTGTCAACTGAGGTATGAGATTCCAGAAGTGTAGAAATCCAAGTTTATCCTGGGAGTTCTGAAATTGGTGTCTTTTTGTGCCTAGAATTGCTAGTGGAGTGCCCTTGTGATTTCCGGTTTGGAGTACTTTTAAATGTTCTGCTTCATCATATTATGAACAACACAAATGAATACATACATAAATGTAAGGGCTTAAAAATGAATCACACAAAACATGATTTAAGAGAACCACTGTCTCCATGAAATTGTCACTTTCCATTCATTTCTTAAAATAATTAGTACATGTAGGGGGATGATTGGGTTGGTAATTAGCACAGTGGCATTTCTTGATTGGCTTCCTTGAGGTGTGATGACGCAAGCTGCCCAAAATATATATAGTCTAAATACAGAAATGACAAACTCTACTGTTATTTACATCTTTCTCCGTATCAGCTGCTCTCTGTTATTCAGCTCAGGCCTCACCACAATAATGTAGCATTTAGGGGAAAAGATGCAACCCAGCAGCCCAGCACTGGAAGCCAAGATGGAGAAGATCTCCACAGCCACCATGTATTTTCCTCTGGTGCTCAAGTATGTGGGAATAAAGGAGAACCAAACACTGCAGAAGACCAGCATGCTGAAGGTGATGAACTTGGCTTCATTGAAGCTGTCTGGCAACTTCCGGGCTAAGAAGGCCACAGTGAAGCTGATAATGGCCAGGAAGCCCATGTAGCCTAAAACACCATAGAACATGAGAACTGACCCCTCGTTACATAAGAATATAATTTCTTCACTGCTTGAGTGCATGTCCACATCTGGGAATGGGGCAGAGGTTGCCAGCCAGAAGACACAGATTCCTACTTGAATCACAGAGCAGGAAAGGACAATGGAGTAAGCCAGTTTTTTGCCTACCCACTTCCTGATTGTGGAATCTGGCTTGGTAGCCATGAATGCCAAAACCACTGAAATAGTCTTGGCCAAGATGCTGGAGAGGGCCACAGAGAAGACAATGCCAAAAGCCGTTTGTCGGAGTGGGCAGGTTGCCTTATTAGGCATTCCAATGAACATCAAGGAGCACAGGAAACACAAGAGGAGGGAGATGAGGAGAATGTAAGTGAGGCTTCTGTTATTGGCTTTGACGATAGCAGTGTCCCTGTGCTTAATGAAAATGCCAAGTACCATAGCTGTGATCAGAGAGAATAAAAGTGCAGAGAAAGTTGAAACAATGGCCAAAGTTTCACCAAAGCCTAAGACGTTTGGTTTCTTGGGAATGCACTCATTCTGCTCTTGATTTGGATATTGATGCGGAGGACATCTGGCACAGGTTTCCAATCCTGAAAAAAAGTTGCATGACAATTGGAAACAATCCAGAATATGCTGAAGAGTGGTTTTTTAAAATTCCCCTTAGCATGTACCAACTTTATGTCTTGTCGCATCAAAACAGACTTGGGGTGGTGCTACAGTAGTGGTTAATAACAATAAAATGCATTATTAAAATGTGTACAACCCATAAAATGTGAAGAAGAGGAAGAAGAATATTTAAGTCCACAATGTGCCTTGTTCTTAGAGAAAAGACCACCACTTCTATTCCAGCCTCCCTTCTCCAAACCTTTAGTGTCTTCCAGGACAGTACAAATTTTATATTATTTATTAAAATGTGGCAGCACAGAAGTGATCCACTGGCAATAGGAGATTGCATTAAACATTATAAAGCGTTACATGCAATAATGTTGGAAAATCTTTACATTATGCATATAGTCACATTCTCATGTTATACACCCTAGAAATAACTTGTACATGCTAATGTGGCATCTCTCACCCTTCTCATTTGAGAACATCCCATGAGGACATGGATCACAAGCATAACAACAAAACTTCTTGCCCTCCTTCTTTTTCTTCTCATAACCAGGACGGCAGTTGGCATTACATAATGAAAGGGGTGGTACCTATCCAAAGAGACACAAAGAGGTGAATATTCAGAAAATGTTTCAGGGATTCAGCTAACATAAGGTGATCTATCAGTAAATAGGAGGGCCAGAAATGTTAAATGTAGGATCCACACTCTCAATATATTCAAATCTCTTCATCCTTCATATAAAGGAATTGGGAATGGAATTTAGCAAATATTGGGTTAACAATCCTGAAAGGAAAATGGGTGTTGACATTAAAACATTCCAAAAATGTTTATTAGTGTGAACTTGAAAGTCAATATTCCAATGGTACTTTACTTTATACAGAATTTATTTATTTATGTAGGCCGAAACTGGCACTCTTGGATATATAACAGAATTAAGGCAGATCCAATACATATATTTTAAAGTTGTAAAATAATAATTCCTTTATGGACAGAAGTACTGAAGAGTTCTCCTCCAGAAGTCAACTGTGGTTCAACTTTACCTAGTGCTCTTTTTCTTTACAATATATATTCTCAAAGTAGGAGCAATCATATGGCCACCTTTAGTTCTAGTAAAACTGAGATCTGCTTGTGAAGATATTGATGCCTTCTATGTGGAGGTGTACCGAGGCTCCCTTGTCCCCTTGGCATGGAGCTATTTTGGCATCCCCACCATCCCTTGCACTATTGGCAAGGAGATATCAGTGCTTCCAAAGTCGGAAGAGTACATGGAACAAGAACTTCTAAAGTTTGCTTTTCATCACCTTTTGTGCTCCTCCTGGGCCATCAGGGTTGGGTCTGCTCTGCTCCTCCCCCTGCCTTCCTTTGTCTGCCTGCCTGCCTGTTTGCCTCCCTTGCTTGGCATACCACCTGCTCACCTTATATCTATTACAACTCCATCCACCAGCCTCTCTTTTCTTCCCTCCAAGCTAAGCTTTGCACTCTACTCACACTTACAACAGTGCCAACAACTAACTAGGGGTGTGGAACTGGACCGCTGCTCTGATGGCCAACGCCAGTGGTGTCATGGGCCAGGAGTCGGCTTCACCTACTGAGCAGCAGCCTGAAGGAGCAGAAGGCGAAGTGACTCCACCTGCTGCTGATCAGCTTTCTTGCTCCTGATGAGAACCAGCTGGCTCCAGCTTTTTAAAGCAGGGTTTCCAGCCTCAGTCAGTCGCTGTAAACAATATTTGTCATCCCTGATCAGACCTTGCTGCTTCTTGTTTCTCGTGACCTTTGACCCTTGGCTTTCTTGACCCCCGGATTGTCTGACCATATGAACTGAGATACTCCAGACCTTACGACTGGACTGGAGCATGTATATGTACTCTACCTCCAAGCAAGTACCCCCCTGAGATTTGGCTGGTTGACTGGCTTCTCCCTCCTGGAGCTCAGCCATGGCTGGCAACACACGACTATGACAAGCACCTGGATTCCTCCACCGAGGTACTGAGAGGAGCCTGAATCCTTTGTCCAGCAACCCATGGAGTACATGGATGGGCAGCCGGGCTCCAAGCCACTCTGAGCAAGGCATGATTTGGGGGGCTCCTCCTTGGTCTGTGGCAGGGGCCAACCTGACAAACAACTCCATACACCCCTGCTTCTATCGTTCCAATTCAACACTAGAATCTTAAGCGGCATCAGTGTGAACCTGAAAGATTCCAGTGTTTATGCATAATGATATGGTTAGATTGGCATTCTATCTAATGCCACTATGTAGAGAGCTGCCTTTAACAAACAAACATTTTGTATGACACTCTCTGATAGTCATTGGTCCTTCTTGGTTTGATATGTCTTCTTTGCATGTTGCTCTTTTTGGAGCAATGGTTCATTTTATTTTTTACAAAAGAACTATTAGTAGCAGCGTTATTAGTAGTGGCAGCACTTCGCTTTTCACCTCAAGTGGCAAAACATGTCTGTTGAATAGTTGCAATGCCCAATATCTGGTTATGGGCCCAGCATTGAGTATATGACTGCCCATTTTTGGACTCTGATAAAGGTTTGAAGTCTACTCCTCCTGTTAGTGTGGTACTGGAAGATTTCCAGGATGACTGACCATGTTACAGAAGCCAAGAAAGCTCTTACGTTTCCACAGCTGACAAATGAGAATTATAGTTCATGGTCGTTTTGTGTGGAGGCACTTTTGACCTCTCGTGATATGTGGCAGTATGTGACTGAGGACCCTGCTGACCCCATGAATGATCCTTGGGCAATAGGAGATGCAAAAGCCAGGGCAATAATTAATTTGGCTGTCAGATACCAACAAGTGGTTTACATAAGGAATAAGAAAACTGCCAAGCAAACGTGGGAAGGTCTTGCAGCAGAACATCTTAGGAAGGAGTCTGTGTCTTATTAATGTTTTTCAAGCAGCTTTACCAGACAAAGCTGCAGCCTGGCGGTGACTTGGCGGCACACTTAAGGTGTTTGGAGGAAAAACGTGACAAATTGATTCGAAGGGACCCGATATTCAGTATGAATTTATCATTCTTTGTTTCCTTAATGAAGACTTTGATGGTCTAGCTGGCCAGATATCTACCATTCCACCAGCACAATTAACAGTGGAAGGGGTAATGGCAAGATTAATGGGCGAGTTAGACTGAAGGGAGGCTTGTGCGATAAGAACGGCTGGTTCCAGAAATAATGAGGATAGCCGTATGCTGACTTGCAGTGACACAACTGCATTAAAAGTTGCCAAGCATTTTTCCTGCAATAAACAAGGACATTTTGCAAAGGATTGCAGATCCAAAAAAAAAAACCCATACAAGGTACTCCCAAATCTGGTTCAGCTCAACAATCACAGTCGTCACCCCAGCAGCCGCCACCATATCGTAAAGGCAGATACGAGCCACGAGCTTTTCACACAGGTGCCAAGTGGATTTTCTTTGTTTTTTGACTCTGGAGCTTTGAGGTATATTTTCAATGATCAGAGTTTTTGTTAATAGCTTTTGTTAATCGGTGGATCACAACATGGACATTCTATTTATCATTTGGATATAAAAACTGCATATTGGTTTGCAGATTTGCTTCTAAACCATGCAAAGATATTTTTGCTTCTCTTCAGTGATTCCATCTGTGTGGTCTACTCTGCACGCACTCTGCAACAAGTTCCAAATGACCAATAATGCCAACCCCTTTGTGCAGTGATGTCCTTACCCGAGTGAAGGCTCTGTGCCACTGGATTCCATCCCCATTAAGGGTGAGCTCTTTTCCAGGAGGGGCCTGAGGATCCAGCCTTCCGACTTTGACCCTGACATAGGAAGTATTTGGGAAAGTGACCAAGTTTGTAATATCAAATCCACCTGCTAATTCTCCATGTTCATTTAATGTGATTTCATCCCCAGCACCGTTGTTGAATGAGATTCTGTGCAGAAATGAGTGCAGCTAGGTGGAAAGAGAACCAAAAGGTCTATGAAGTGTTGTGAAAGTCTTACTAAGATAACTCAATAGTTTTCCGGGAAGAATATAAGCTCTGTTCCTCTAGGGTTCCCCCACTTCAGTTCCCAATGGAGAGCACCCAAATTTTGACAGCAGATCAAACAGAGAGGGAAATTGTGAATCAGTGTAAATTCAACAGTCATGAGATACATACATAAAGGCTGTAAATCTGTGTGTTTCAGAGCAGTCTTTGTTAAGATTCAAGCTGTAGAAGGGATTTGAGATGATGGGCAAGAAAAGGGTCAGGTGCTCGTGTTCTCAAGGCATTATATTACTGCAACATGGAAACATGTAGCTGTAGCCCTCATGTTAGGCGCTTGAGTTTCTTAGTTCAGGGCATCCATGATTTCTGTTTGTGTGTAGCTGTATACTGCTCTGTATTAGTTACTGTGCAGTTAGTCAATGTAAGCCCTCTTCTGATAACCAAGAAGCCTCTTTTTGAACAGTCTTGTGTTAGTATATGTTCCTTGGTAATAGTGACTATTTAGGACACACAGTAGAGCAGTGTGCAATTTCCCCCCATATGAAAGTCCTCACCTCTAAAGGGAATATCTTCTAGGTGAACATGTGAAGGGGCTCTCACAGCAATCAGTGGCAGACACACTACAACTTTTGCCACGCCTCTAGATGTACTGGACTCTTCCACTAGCCATCACATATCCAACACAAGTGGAGGGCATCAGCTCTTGCCTACAGCATGCCACACCACTGTGCTCTACACAGGACATAAGAAATGAGAGGGGCTTTATTGAAGATAGACAAAATGTCCCCAGAATTCATGTTCTTCTATAAGAAAGTCAGCCTGCCACTGAAAAAGAATCTTTGCTGATCATGCTTAAATCATGGGAAGAAGAAGTAGGTAAACTGTCCCCAGCCCCATCCCTACTAATACCCCTGGCACACCACCCACTATTCCACCGAGCAGAACAAAATCTCTGGATAAAAACATGGCAAGCCAAAGGCTTATACCGCCTAGCAGATTTCTACAAAAACAGCAAACCCTTATCAACACAAGAAATACAAGACAAACTAGGGGCTACCAGATGTCCTGGCTATCCCATCACATGCCCTCCTAAACAACGCAGTAGTAATATCTGCAGAAACCAGGCCCTTGACAACCTTCAAAAACCTCCTCCTAACATCAAACTGACACAGCAAAGTGATGGTATCCACAATATATGAAATACTGCTCCAAAATCCCACATCCCCCTTGACATAATAAAAAAAAATATGGGAGGACAACATAGGCCATGAGATTAACCCCACCCAATGGACCAAAACAGCAAACCCTTATCAACACAAGAAATACAAGACAAACTAGGGGCTACCCAGATGTCCTGGCTATCCCAGCACATGCCCTCCTAAACAACACAGTAGTAAAATATTCAGCAACTAGGCCCTTGAAAACTTTCGAAAACCTCCTCCGAACCTCAAAGGGACACAGCAAAGGGATGGTATCCACAATATACAAAATACTGCTCCAAAATCTCATATCCCCCTTGACATAATAAAAAAAATTGGGCGGACGCCATAGGACATTAGATAAACACAACCCAATGGACTAAAATGTGGTCTAAACCTCCCTTTAAATCGATATCAGCAAAAAGGAAAGAACTCACTCTGAAACTCACTTACAGATGGTAGCTAACACCATGGAAACTAGCGCTAATACACCCAGGAACCTCACCAAGATGCTCAAGAGGATGCACCTCCACAGGCACATACCTCCATATATGGTGGGAATGTCCCCTAATCCAGCCCTTCTGGACAGCAATCATATAAGAAATACGCAAAATAACTAAGCAAGTATTAGAAGTCACCCCAGAACTGACCTCACTAAACATATTCCAAGATAATAATGACCACTCACATGATAAAGAAATATCATGGCCAGACACTGGAGAGACCTATCAAGAGTAAGCATGGACCAATGGTATCAAATAGTATGGGAAACAGCCTTATTAGAAAAACGAACCAATAAACTGAAACTGACAAGGGGACAAATAGAAGAAGAAGCCTTTACACCGGTATGGTTCCCCGTTATCACATACGTAGCCCGACAACACAATAGCAAGAATCTGCCGACAGCATACAAATCAATCTGGCTAACCTGATTCAAAAATACACCCCCACCTCACTACAGCTAACCAAAGACAAACAACCACACCCTCAGCCACCCCCAACCTCTCTCAACACCAAGCAAGTATAACAAGTGAATAGTCAGAGAATCCATACAAGTAACGCTGACCCAAAACCCCACACATACACTAAGTAGAAGAATAGAAGAATAACCACCTGACCCATTCCCCCATCCCCTCTTTCCCCCTCTTTTCCTCCTAACAACCCCCCTCTGTTCTATCCCCTTTGTTTCCCCTTTGTTTATACCAATTCATGAACCAAGAACTTATACATGGACCACTAATAATTAAACATACCGGTATGTTGCAGATATTACTCCACATTTATTATTTTTGTGATATACAAAAGACATGAGAAAATTTGGTATACCTATTTGTATAACTTTATCCTTGTTTATAAAACCCCCCAAAAAGTTATTTTATTTTTTTAAAAAATTGCTTTGATGTCAGACAGGGAAAGTTCAAGCAAATATTTTCTAGAATCATAGGATCATATAATTAGAGTTGGAGGGGATGACAATAAAATTAGTTAATGTTAATTTTGATGTATTAAGATTTATTATTTTATTTAATGTAAATTTAATGTAAATAATTGACAACCCATATTGTACATGAATGGAGTGCACAACACTGAGCATGTTATATAGTAAAGACTTTGTAACAAGAAACGCTACCTGCCAAGGCTCTACATTCTGAGGAAAGAGTCTGTTTCTGTCCTTTGTCCTTTTGCAGATGGCTTCAGATGAGCACCTAATACGTAAGGCATGTGCCAGAGCATAGACAGCATTATAGATACTGTAGCTGTGGCCAGTCATGCTCATTTCAAAATATGGTGTAGGGAGGTTCTCCAGCAATTCCTCTCCAGTACATGTACCGAAAATAGCTGCCATTGCAGTGGCGTTTGAAAGTGAACAACCAAACGATTGTTCCCAGAAATGCTTGATAAAACCATCTTCATCTTGTCCAGAAGGCTTTACATCCTGCAGAAAGTTTGAGAAGTCTTGAATCTCCTTGGAGTGAATCGTAATGGAGATAGCACCTTGGAGCATTTGTATATTAATGTCAATAACTTTACTGAAAATTTGATTTGATATGAAATCTATTTGGGCTGTTGTAATCCATACTTTCCAATCAGGTTCTTTCCCCGCAAATTGCTGAAGAATTAGCTGAATCATAATCTTTGGAATTATAATACCTGTAAGCCATATAATCGATGTACTTTCTCCATATATAACAACTGCATTTGCTTTGCTTGTCATGAAATTTTGCGAGAAAAGCTTTGATTGATCCACTATATGAAATATGTTACCACTGAAATGCAAATAGTAATCTGTTCTTTCTGTGAACGCTGAACATATTCCATTCTTGAAAAGCATTGGTTCAATGGTCTGCAAGAACTGATCTCCAGCTTCATTAGCTGGAGTCATGAGCCCAACCCATTTCCATCTGAAATGCAGAAGTAACTGGATAATTCCCTTGTACTGAAGATCTTCATTGGGGACCATGCGGTAGAAGGAAGCAACTTTGATTTGATCATTTGTGGCTGGTTCAAATGAACCATATGAAATCTGAAAAAGGAAAAAGCCAAACTTTTCCATGTGGAAACAAGAATTCACAACACACTCATTTATCTAATATAAATCCTATGCATTCCATCTTTTCTAATCTTAGAGAAAGGGCTACCCTCCGATTTACATAGAAAAACGCACAAAACAAACAATATTGCTCATTTATTTATGTAGATATTAATTTCTATTATTGTGGTGTCATCACAGTCGCATACATGTACACATGGATTGTGTCAAAGTCAGGAGAGCATTTATCCCTGCTCATTTCAACATACTACCTGGATACATCAACATAACTTGATTGTGGAAATGGAGGGAGACAAACCATTGACCATGTTCTTTTGGTCTATAACCTTTAAAGGAGTCGTAGAGAGACTTTGATGGTTTATGTACTAAGAACTTTCATGGGAGTTCTCCTGTAGATTTCCTGGACATAATACTTTTTATTCTTTTCTGAACAACAATAAACCATATCCTATATAATGAATCAAAATACTAGAAAAAATTAAGGCAATTAAAATGAAGTTCAGTAATGTAGCAGAACAACACAAAAATGGTACCACTATTTTTCTCTCCCCAAGTGCCAGAAAAATAACAAGAAAAGTGCTTTTCATTAGCCTCTGAAAGAGGACAGTGCTGAATAACATCACACTTCCACAAGGTGGGAATTTCATGATTCCTAGGGAAACACCATTCTTGTCCTGAGTCATTTATGCCTCTGCAAGTGATTATTAGCAGCATGAATTGGGATTGGTACTTTTCAGACAGTTAGGACAATGCTTGCAGGATTGAAATAATGTGAGCCCAATCCTCCACTAAATATATTGAACACATCTTTGGGAACATGGCTCTCATAAAAGTTGGTTTATGCACATACTAACGTCCTCAAATATATCGATATATTGCAACCATTTTCCTTTTTTGACTTGATACTTATGAATCAACAGCTTCCTAGTTGAAGGAGTGTAGAGTGAACTACAGAATGACATATCTATATTATGTACCTGTGGAATTTTGTAAAGACCTAAGACATCTGCCATGGATGAGGAGGTGTCAGAGCTAAGTCCCCCAATGACTCCTACTATTTTTTTCTGATTTCCACATATGTAGTTGGGGACAAAGTGATGTGATTTAAAAAGCAGATCCAGAGTGTTTTGGTAGGTCATCCTTGAATCAGAACAGCTATCATAGATGTGGAATCCAAGTGTGGCATTGGGCAAGATCTTGGGATTCCCATTGATCTCATCAACAGCAAACACCAAGGCGAGGATGTGTTGGTAGAACTTTCTAATCACCCTACAAATAAAGTGTGTTACTATTTTATGGGGAATAAAACAGTGCACAGCATCGAGATGTCAGAGATTCAACTGCCTCTGTTAAATATTCTTGTAAATATGGAAATTGCTTTGTGCTTTTAGAGTTAATGTTGGGATGTCTCCTCCATCCAAGTCAGATTTTTTATTTGTCTGAACACATAGGTTGAGAAGAGATCTTCACTTATGAAGCTTTAGGTTTTTTAACCATGTTGCTCTTTATCACTAGAAACAAGAACTGTGCCACATGGCTATGCTACAGTTATTGAAATCAGTTTGATATCCCTTTGTCAGTACATAGCTGTCCCTAGCAATAGAAATGGTATGATATTAAATAAAGGAATTGGCAGCTGCCATTATGAATAGGAAGAATGCCCAGTGATGAGCTAGCAGTGATGATGGTAAAAGGGCTCTCCTCCCATTATTACTAAGCGTATTTAAAATGTATCCCGGATTGTTTGCAATGTACTTTAGACATGAGTTCCATTTTGTACCATCCTTCACTAAAGCAGCTCAAGCTGGGCTTCATAGCTCTCCTCTCTCTCCTTGCGTACTCACAAAAGTGCCTAAGTTGCAGGTGACCCAGAAAATGGAGATTTGAAACCAATAGGTTGCCATGATATATTACTGTGGGCAGGAGGATCAATGGCTAGAGAGCAAGTGATGGTGATCTGAAACTGCATCAGCTCAAACACAGTTGAAGTTTCATATCTTCATCTTTACCAGCACTGCGTCCACAACCAGCTATTTGGAAGAACTTTTCAGTGTTGAATATTCTTTTGTCATCTGGCCAAGAGAGCATTTCTATTATAACGTTAGCAGCCTGCTGCTACGTCTTTAGAAGCACTTTAGAGATGGAATCAGTCTCAGACAGAACTGCATGATACAATTGGAGCCTGTCAAATGGTATGCAGTGCACACTCTGTTCCATTTGTGCTGGAACAGTTTTGATTATTGTGGCCAGGGGATGTAGTGAATGTGCTTGAAGAAATGACCTCTTGACCCTTGCCTGTCTTGGCTTTTTAAATGGAGCTTTATAGGATTGACTGGCAGTGGCAGACTTGGGTACTATGATGCCTATTGCAAGGCTGAAAATTTGCACCCACGTAGACCTTGCATTGCCTTCCCTTAGGAAGGAGCCACAAGGCTCTGGCAGGGTCCTAGAATCCTTCCATCTAATTCTCAAAGCTGAAAAATTGCTAACTAGGCTTTGTGAAGGAGGCAGAAGGACTCCAGGACCTTGGAAGCTCCTCATGGCCCTCTCCTCAAGCCCAGTGCCTGGCTTACCTGGCTTTGAGGCAGTGTTCCCATGGCTCTGTCTCTGATGTGTGTACACACAACCCTAATTCAGCCTCTTTGACTGGGGAAGTTCAGTGAGTTATCTATGCTTCACTGGATAATAGAGAGATACTGTCCAACTTGAATCAGGTTATGGTGCGTCTCCTCTTTACTCTGAACCAAGAATAAAATATTCTTATAAATTCTTACGACTGTTTTTTTAAAATAAATTAAAAATATTTTTTCATAGCCTTCTTTCCAAAGCAAAAGTACTTTCTAAATGTCTAAGGAATAAAAGAAATAATCTTAAGGTCCATTTACTTACACTGGATTGTCAATAAAGTCGTGAGATGGGTGTTGATGGAAGGAAATGCTGGGGAATACGTAATGGATATGAGACACTATCCCACCAATGATAAGGTCACCTGCTTCATACCACTCATGTGGAATATGCACAGGGTTATTTCTGCTGCAAACAACAGTGTGCACTTGGGGCACCATATTGGGAAGCAGTAGGAGAAGCAGCAGCAACAACATCCTCATCACAAATATCCTTCTACTCTCTACAATATTGTTACTATCATCAGCCTGACTTGAACAGGATGTATTTGGTGACAGCCGACTTTGGCAATTCTGTTGCCAATTAAAGGGTCAGGAATCCACTTTCACTGTTACCAAAAAAAGGAATTGAATGCTAAATAATCTAGAGTGATTTGAAACCTGACCTATACAATGAAAGAGGGAAACTGACTGAAATAACAGAGCCTGGCCTCCTCTCTCCTCCTTTACCATAGCAGTGAATGGAACACTGGGGTGCTTTTCATCATTTCAGATTTAGTTTTTGAGTCTTTATTTTTCATTCTACCTTCTGGAGCTTTTCCAGGTGAATTGATTATAGTAATTTTAATAATTACAGGGCAGATAACCTTTTGTGCTATGTTTTTGGACTCTATGTTGCATCAGGAAAGGGAAGATTTCCAAAGTAAACATATCGGTCACATCACAGAATCAGAGATTTGGAAGAGGTGTCTAAGGTCATCAAGTCCAGTCTCCTTGCTAATGCAGGGCATCCATAACTACAAACAAAAATAAAAACGCCTCACCTGTAGGCAGGCATCCATCTTTGTCCTAAAAATTCCTCTATCAAAATGTGTTTAGAGGTGCATCCTTTCCCCATTTGTATAATTTCCTACTGCTATTGGCCCTTACACTCACAGTCATATGTAACATTTATTCCAGTTGCTGGATCTTGGAACCAATGATGCAAAGGGTCCAAACCATATCAGGATATAGAGACCCTGGATATTACTGTCCCAATACTTTTGAAAGAATGCATATGTACTGTCTGAAACAGAGTGGCATGCTTGGGAACAATAGTGCCATCTGTCTTTTACTCTTGTAAGGAGTAGTAATTCCAAAGACTAGGTGGTCTATCACTGTCAGGCAGTGCTAGGCAGTATTTTCCCCTCCAGATGTTTCTGGATTACAGCTTTCATCATCCATGATAATAATAGCCAATTGGAAGCTGATGTGAGCTGTAGTCCAGCAATATCTGGAGGGCCACAGATTGGGTACCCTTGGTGTAAGGAAGGTTTGGGTTGTTGAAAAAATGCCTCATGTTTGGTGTCATGCTGAACTCTCAGGGCTTTGTCAACTATTTGAGCCCTCTGAGCCTGAAGCAGTGTTCATGGGAAGGCGAGTCACTTCCTGACTCCCTTTCCAGCCCCATCTCAATGCAGGTATAAGATTACAGAAGCGTAGAAGTCCCAGTTTATCCTTGAAGTTTTAAGATTGTGTGTGTAAGGCAGCTATAGAAACATTGTCTGTGAAGAGATCTTTTAAGAAAGAATTTTATTTTGAAACAGTTGAATAGTTAGAGCAAAGAACAAACAAATATAGAAAAACCCTTCCCACTTAACAGTGACTAGATTTGTTCTTTAAAGGAAACCGACTCTGCCTCACAGTGCTACTTATATATACCTTATTTCTCAACTTTTTGGCAAATAGTAGAGTTATGTTTAGGTTCCCATTAGTTCAAATTATAACTGACCCTCTTTTGTATTTTTACCCAATGGTAGGAAAAGTTTCAAAGAAATAATAATTATAGGAAAAGTTTCAAAGAAATAATAATTATGGAAATATAAAAAAATGATGAGATGAGCAGAGAAAGGGAGGGTCCTAGCTCTCTATCATATTTAAGTTGTAATCATTCAACTTGTTTTTATTATTGCTTGTAAGCCGCTCTGAGCCCGGCCTTGGCTGGGGAGGGCGGGGTATAAATAAAAATTATTATTATTATTATTATTATTATTATTATTATTATTATTATTATTATATTAGATGGCACAAGGCTTTTGCTTTCTCTGGGGAAGACATACCTGAGGAGCAGATAGGTCTCAGACGATACACAATTTCCCCAGGCTAGTGCCTGCATCCACTTCTTGCCTGATATTCCTTTCCAACAGCCACAGATCATATAACCCAAACTACCCAAATTCTTCCATAATTTGGAGGGAGACTTGGTTGAGTCTCATGCATGGCTCGGATACATTGAGCAATGCTCTCACTCAACATAAGGCAGCTTACAAAGTTCCCTTTCCCCTTTCCTCTATCTGCAGTTTCCGACGCACCCCAGCATCTGCTCAGGAGTTTCAGAACCTATTGGGAAAGTGGATGCCAGAAAATTAGAGTAAGGGATTAGAGTAACCCAATTCATTTCCACATCATATGTAAGTATGCTGGATCCCAAGAACATAAATGATAAGATAAGCTCTTCTGTTATTTTGACCACCACATCTGACACTAGCCAGAAAGATTACAGAGCCTAACTCCCAACATAAATTACAATCTCTTCTGTCATTTATGCTTTGCTCCGTATCAGCTGTTCTCTGTTATTCAGCTCAGGCCTCATCACAATAATGTAGCATTTAGGGAAAAAGAGGCAAGCCAGCAGCCCAGCACTGGAAGCCAAGATGGAGAAGATCTCCACAGCCACCATGTATTTTCCTCTGGTGCTCAGGTACGTTGGAATAAAGGAGAGCCAAACACTGCAGAAAACCAGCATGCTGAAGGTGATGAACTTGGCTTCATTGAAAGTGTCAGGCAACTTCCTGGCTAGGAAGGCCACCGTGAAGCTGACAATGGCAAGGAAGCCCATATAGCCCAAAACACAATAGAACATGGGAACTGACCCTTCGTTACATAATATTATAATTTCTTCATTCATTGAGTGCATGTCCACATCTGGGAATGGGGGAGAGGTTGCCAGCCATAAGACACAGATTCCTACTTGAACAATGGAGCCAGAGAGGACAATGGTGTAAGCCAGCTTTTTGCCTACCCATCTCCTGATCCTGGACCCTGGCTTGGTAGCCATGAATGCCAAAACCACCGATACGGTTTTGGCCAAGATGCTGGAGAGGGCCACAGAGAAAATGATGCCAAAACTTGTTTGTCGGAGAAGACAGGTCACCCACCTTGGTTTTCCAATGAACATCAAAGTGCAGAGGAAACACAAGAGGAGGCAGAGTAGAAGAATATAGGTTAGGGTTCTGTTGTTGGCTTTGACTATGGCAGTGTCCCTGTGCTTAATGAAGATGCCAAGCACAAGAATTGTGATCAGAGAGAATAAAAGTGCACAGAAAGTTGAAACGATGGCCAATGTTTCATCAAAGCCCAGGAAGTTCGCTGTCTTTGGAATGCATTGATCCTGGCCTTCATTTGGATACTGACCCGCAGGGCATCTGGCACATATTTCAATCTCTGAAAATACAATGTACAATCATTTTAAAGAACCATGATTATGCTAAAGAATGTTGTTATCTGAAGTACGGGAGATTTTATGCAGCCAAACAACTGTACATTATTGCTAGTAAGTAAGGGAACTACAGAGCTGTAAATTTATAGAAAGGTCTCCGTGATATCACTTCTCCAAGAAGTGAGGAAGTATGGTTTGTTTTCTGATCCTCTCTCTCTCTTCTGTTTGAACCATGCAACTGACCACATGCATCACGCTGGAGCTCCTTAGCCCAGTTTCAGTGCTTGAAGATATGGATTCTATTTTGTAACAAAGAATACCTTGCCTGTATTTGCTTCTGCTGTAGCACTGATTGATGCCTGAGATTTGTGATTACTGCATGTAAAGCATTTAACTGACTAATGGTTGTTGACTATTCACTCCGAGAGGGGAGTGAATTGCATTGTAAGCACTAAATTTAAACACTATAATCAAATTCTGCTGGGTGCTGTTTTGGCTAAAGAGTGAGTCAAGCTCTGCACATTTTATTGAATTTAGGCAGTTAGTCATGAATGCTTTTGCCCTAGATGCTTACAAAATCAACTCATGTAACAAATGTGGATAAGCTGTATGCTTTTAGTGGTGCTTTTCTGTTTTTCTCAGGACCACAGATATTGCATAGTTAAACAAGAGAAATATTGTTGCTGAAATATTGGCCACAGAAAGGTGTTTTTGACAGGACTTTTATAGTCTCCCCCAAAAGCCTTGTTTCTAGAGAAGGGGCCACCACTTTTATTCCACTGTAAATTAGTCAATGTTGGTGGTAAATTCATCACCCACCTTTCTAAAATATATTCTTTTTTAAAAAAGTGAAGATACAATCTTGAAGAATGTGTTCTAGAAGGATTATATTGATGTTATCTATAACCAATAAGGGCAACACATCAAGCCATAATTTAAGACTTCCCTCCTCCAGAAATTAAACGCAACAAAATTGTCAAGGAGTGCAGTGCTTACTAAAATAAATTGTATTGTTTTGTATATCTTTACATGCTACCTCCCACATTTCTCATTTGAGAACGTCTCATGTGGGCATGGATCTGCCCAGAATATACTAACATGAATTCTATAGTATATGCTAACACAGCATCTCTCACCCTTGTCATTTGAGAACGTCTCATGTGGACATGGATCACAATCATAACAGCAAAACTTCTCCCCCTCCTTCTTTTTCTTCCCATAACCAGGACGGCAATTGGCATTACATATTGAAAGTGGAGGTTCCTATCCGAAGATATGGGATAAGGTTAATATTAAGAAAATGTTTAAATTCATATAACATAAGGTGATCTATCAGTAAATAGGAGGGCCAATATTGTGGAATATATAATCCATATGTACACAGGTGACTCATGAAGTGGAGTGGTGGGATGCTCTGTCACAAGAGACTAGGGCCGTGCGGGACTTGACATCTTTCCACAGGGCCTAAAAAACAGAGTTGTTCCACCAGGCCTTCTGTAAGCCTCATAGAACTCTAGCCCAATGGTTGCCATTAATTCGACTCTGAATTGATTTTAGAATGAATTGGTTTTAGAATGTATTTCAATTAATTGATTATGATTTTATGTAAGCTGTGTTATTTTTACTGTTGTTAGCCACCCTGAACCCAGCTTCGGCTGGGGAGAGCGGGATATAAATAATTTATTATTATTATTATTATTATTATTATTATTATTATTATTATTATTATTTAAAAAGTCCACTTACTATATTCATCTGATAGCAGTGGTTGTGGCCTGGCATGGCTGCAGAAAATCTGGGGTGGTGGATATCCCTCACCAAGTGGTCAGCTGACGGCAGCAGTATGACTGATGGCCATGTGGGAAGTTGTGAAAAGACCACAAAATTTGAATTTGTTCTGCCCAATAGCAAGCAAGTTTAGCAGGTGTGACTATGGGATTACTGCCATTTGATTCATGAATTTCACTGGGTGCTATTTTGATGTGACTCTAGATGGTGGGATTTGCATTAAAAAAACAAAACACCTTTCTACATACAGTGGTGCCTCGCAAGACGAAATTAATTCGTTCCGCGAGTTTTGCCGTCTTGCGATTTTTTTCGTCTTGCGAAGCACGGTGTCGGAAAAGTTTTGGAAAAGCTTCAAAAATCACCAAAGTCTTCAAAAACCTCAAAAAAGGCTACCACACCGCGTGCTATGAGTTGCTCCTCGAAGTCAAGTCACAACTGTATTAACGGTGTTAAGAAAAAGGAAACAAACTTGCAAGACGTTTCCGTCTTGCAAAGCAAGCGCATAGGGAAAATTGTCTTGCGAAGCAGCTCAAAAAACAAAAAACCCTTTCGTCTAGTGAGTTTTCTGTCTTGCGCATTCGTCTTGCGAGGTACCACTGTAGAATACAATAAAAAAGCAATCTACATAAAGGAAAAAGGGGGGGGGGAGAAAAAGAAAAGAGAAAGAGAAAGACAAAGAGAAAGAGAAAGAGAAAGAGGAGGGGGATATAAAGCCCTCTCTCAAATATAGATCTTAACCCTTGTCTCTCATAAAAGGGGGTGGACCTTTCCAGCTGTAACCTAGGAGCTTCCTTTTTTTCTCCCAGGCTCCCACCTTGGCAGATCTTCCATCCCCTGCCTCTCATACAAAGTATTCACCTGCCATCCATCTCCTTCCTGAGTGTACCAGAGTAGAGAACATCCAAAACAAAACAAAACAAAAAACACACAACCCACAAGCAAATGCAAAGTATAGTGGTAGCTCAGGTTACATACGCTTCAGGTTACAGACTCCGCTAAGCCAGAAATAGTACCTCGGGTTAAGAACTTTGCTTCAGGATGAGAACAGAAATCGTGCTCTGGCTGTGCAGCAGCAGCAGGAGCCCCCATTAGCTAAAGTGGTGCTTCAGGTTAAGAACAGTTTCAGGTTAAGAACGGACCTCCGGAAAGAATTAAGTTCTTAACCCGAGGTACCACTGTAGATTAAAAAAAAAGGAAAAGAGAAAAGGCTGGAAGGGGAAAAAAGATTTTTTTAAAAAATAGAAAAGAAAAGAGAGAAATTGAAATTAAATAAATATGACTTCCAATTCTCTGTCTGTCAATTATATATTAAAAAGTTATTCAAAATATTCAGTGTTCACTCCAGGATGGTATATAGTTGTATTCCAGGGTAATATCCAGCTGTTCCTTGTTCTACTAGGTGATGTTTCCCCAGTCCTCAATCCTATGAGCCTCAAGTTCATTCATTATCTATGTTGAATTTTCAACGTAGATAAAATTTTCATCTTATTTTTGAAAACTTTCTTTTCTCCTCCAGTGTATAGCAAACTTAATTATGCATTAAGTGAAGACCTGCTTTCTTCCCTCCCTTACACCCCATCTTTATGGAAAACTATGAATGTTGCCATCTGAGAGCCTGTGCAGTTATTTTCTCACCTGAGTGAAGCCACTATGCCATTTGATTCTGTCTGCATTAATGGTGAGCTCTTTGCCAGGAGGGGCCTGAGGATCCAGCCTCCCCACTTTGACCCTGACATATGATCCATTTCGGAAAGTGACCAAGTTTGTAATATCAAAGCCAGCTGCTAACTCTCCATATTCATTTAATGTGATTTCATCACCAGCACTGTTGTTGAACGAGATTCTCTGCAGGAATGATTGGACCTATGTGAAAAGAGAACCACAAGGTCTACAAAGTCAGGGAATGGGCAGGTGTGGGGGACTCTCTGGTCTTGAATGCAGTAACTGTGCCTCTAAAGGACCAGGTGTGCAGTCTGGGGGTCATTTTGGACTGACAGCTATCCATGGAGGCACAGGTTATCTCATGCTTGGACTATTGCATGTGGTGCTGCCTTTGAAGATGACTCGGAAACTACAATTAATCCAGAATGCGGCAGCTAGACTGGTGACTGGGAGTGGCTGCTGGGACCATATAACACCGGTCCTAAAGGATCTTTATTGGCTCCCAGTGCATTTCCGAGCACAATTCAAAGTGTTGGTGCTGACCTTTAAAGCCCTAAATGGCCACGGCCCATTATACCTGAAGGAGCATCTCCACCCCCATTGTTCCTCCTTCAAGGGTCTTCTGCTGGTTCCCTCACTGCGAGAAGTGAAGTTACAGGGAACTAGGCAGAGGGACTTCTTGGTAGTGGTGCCCTCCCTGTGGAACACCCTGCCTTCAGATATCAAGAAAATAAACAGCTAACTGACTTTTAGAAGACATCTGAAGGCAGCCCTGTATTGGAAAATTATTAATGTTTTATGTTTTAGTATGTTTTGATATATGCTATGAGCCACCCAGAGTGGTTAGGGAAACCCAGCCAGATGTTGTGTTTTGTTGTTGTTGTTAATTGGAGGGTGTGTGTGGCTTTCATTTCCTTCATTTCTGGAATCTCTGAATTTTGCTAGATCTCTGTATCATGTGTGCTGGAATTACCAAGGAAACCAGAAATTTTCATGGACACTCCACCAGATTTTGAGAAACTTCAGAAAGCTACAAGGGTCATTTCAGGCAGTTTGATTTGCACTCCTCTTGGCTAATCTGTGCTGTTAACCGTAGGTAAGAGGAATGCCTATGTAATCTAAAGTCTTTTTATTATTATAAGAACTTTTCTAATTCCAATCTCTGATATAACAAAATTATTTTTAGTTATCAAGGTTTCTTTCTTTACTTATAGTGCATTGCCAATTTATATAATATATCAAGGCAGTGCACAACACAGAATATTTTGTAAACTGTACACTTTGTAACAGGAAACCCTACCTGCCAAGGTTTCAAATTCTGATGAGAGAGTCTTTCTCTACTCTCTGTTCCTTTGTGGTTGGCTCCAGCCGGAAACATGATCTGTAAGGCATGTGCCAAAGCATAGACAGCATTGTAGATGCTGTAGCTGTGGCCGGTCATGCTCATTTCAAAAAATGATGCAGGAAGGCTCTCCAGCATCTCCTCTCCAGTACATGTGACATAAAAGTATTTTGACGCAGTGGAGTTTGAAAGTGAACAACCAAATGCTTGTTCCCATAAATCTTTGATAAAACCATCACCATCTTCCCAATAAGGATTTACATGCTGAATAAAGTCTTGGAAGCTGTGAGTCTCCTTGGAGTGGATAGCAAAGGATAGAGCACCATGGAACATTTGTGTGTTAATACCAGTATTTTTTTGAACTGTATGTAATGTGAAATCAATTTGAGCTGTTGTAATCCACACTTTTCCTTCATGTAACTTAATATGTGGATGATATATTAACAGAGTTACCATCATTGTCTTTGCAGCATTTAACAGCCATGCAATAGATTGACTTTCTCCATATATAACAACAGCATTGGCTTTGCTCATTATGAAAGCTCGTGTGAAGAGCTTTGATCCACGTACCACATCATCTACCGTATCAAACATGTTACCAGTGACATGCAGATGGTACCAAATCTTTTCTGTGAATGCTGAACAGATCCGATTCTTGTAAAGCATTGGTTCAATTGCCCGCAAGAAATGTTCTCCAGCTTCATTATCTGGAGTGAGGAGCCCGACCCATTTCCATCCAAAATACAAAAGTAACTGGATAATTCCTTGATACTGAAGTCCTTCATTGGGGACCATGCGGTAAAAGGAAGGGAATTTGATTTGTTCATTCGTGACTGATTCAAATGAACCATATGAAATCTGAAAAAAGAAAAACCAAACTGTCCAAGTGGAAACAAGAACTCCCAACACATTTATCTGAATATAAGTGTTGTAAGTGTTGTAAACATTCCATTTACTTTCAGATAAGTATCTGTTTATTGGGAAGATTGTCGCAATGTGCTTTAGCTTTTATTCCCCACAATTTGAGGCAAGCTATTAACAGTCATTCCTTGCTAGATATTTCACCTGCCACTCTCTCTATATAGTGGTTTTTATGTTGATCTTTTCTGTGAACTGCCCTGAGAGCTCCGGGTATAAGGCAGTATATACCGGTAAATTTTAGTAGTAGTAGTAGTAGTAGTAATAATAATAATAATAATAAATCCTATATACTAAAATGTACTCTTTTTAGGGACATAGAAAAATGCAGACAAATAATTGTGCTCAATAATTTCTGAAGCTATTCATTCTTAATATTATTGAGTCATCACATTTGTACACATTGATTGTCTCCAAGCATTTGGAGTATTTATCATTGCTCACTGTACTGTACTGCTTTTAAGCGTATGATTCAACAAAACTTTCGTGTGGAGCTGGAGCAATAGAAACCACTGATCCTCTTCTTTTGTTCTGTAACCCTTATAGTGATTGTAGAGAGAAGTTGATACTCCATCTACTATGAACTCTCCTGGGAAGATTTTCCGGAAACTCTGGAAGATCTCTGGAAGAGTATGTATGGCATTGGTATTTTACCACAATAAACCATATAAAATATCAGTAAAATACAGTGGTACGTTTGGTTGCAAACTTAATTCATTCCGGAGGTCCGTTTTTAACTTGAGGTACCACTTTAGCTAATGTGGCCTGCCGATTTCCGTTCTCATCCTGAAGTAAAGTTCTTAACCCGAGGTACTACTTCCGGGTTAGCAGAGTCTGTAACCCAAAGTGTTTGTAATCCAAGGTGTTTGTAATCCAAGGTACTACTGTACAAAAAAAAAACCCCATCATCATTCTCTGCAAAAATTAAAAGCAACAAAGATGAATTCACATAATGCAGCAGAATGGCACAAAATACTGTTTTCCATTAACCTCCGAAAGTCAACAATTCTGAATAATGTCATACTTGCCCCAGGAAAGGAATTTCATAATTCTCAGGGAGAGACATTCTTAGTTTTTTATCATTTATTAAATTTGTCAGTTGCTTTTTCTTGCCCGGGGCAACCCAAAACAACTTACAACCAAACAAATAGACAATAAACCACACATACATATCATGTATGGAGGAGTTAATGTCACAGAGTAAGCTATCCTGCCAGGCTTAGCTGGGTCACTCCTTTACCTTTGGAGGATGGTAATCAACCCTATTGTTGTCCTTCAGTCTCCCAGAGAAGCTTGGCATGTAGAGAGGTCTGAGCTGGTTGATCCAAGCTCACACTGCATGACTCTAACAGGCCATACCAATTTAGGAACTTTCACAACTGTAACTAAGCCTGTGTTTTCTGACTGATGTATGGAAAAGCACATGAACCTCACCTTCAGAGGGTTTATAATTAAACCATTTTTAATTTAACAAACGTGAGGTCTTTTTCTATGCAGGGGGAAAAGGGGAATATTCTGAAACTCACAATGACATATTTTAAAGGTCTACAAGCTTATATTTCTGTGCTTTACTGTCCAGCACGTTTTGTGGTTTGAAATCTCTGCTGGGATTCTCTCATCAAAGAGTACTTGCCCCAAACCTGGATTTTGCTTCCAAGGAAGTCTCTTTTCTATATTTCATCTTTCCATTGTCACCAATAATTGGAAATTTTCATGCAATCTTACATTATATGCATTAAACACACATTCTTTGGAACACTGCCCTTCTCACCCACATTATACCTCTCTAATATATTTATATACTGCAGTCTCTTTTACTCTTCCTTTTTTACCTGTCCATATTCATGAGTCAGCAGGTTTCTAGTGGAAGGAGAGGGGGAGAGTTTATGATTGTGTGAAATTCCATTCTTATTATTTTAATTCCCATATTCTACCTGTGGAATCTTGTAAAGACCTAAGATGTCTGCCATGCACAAAGAAGTCTCAGAGCCAAATCCCCCAATGACGCCTACTACACTTTTCTGGATGCTACATATGTAGTTGGGGAGAAAGTAACGCGATTTAAAGAGCAGATCCAGAGTGGTTCGGTAGGTCATCTTTGAATCATAATAGCTATCATAGATGTGAAACCCAAGAGTGACATTGGGCAACATCCTGGGATTCTGGTTGATCTCCTCAATGGCAAACACCAAGGCCAGGATGTGTTGGTACAACTTTGTCATCACCCTGCAAATGAAGTGAGTTACTGTTTTATGGGAGAATTAAACAGAGCAGAAAATCTAGAACCGAAAGGAGAGGGTACAACCTGCCAGTTTAGTCATGTATTATTATTATTATTATTATTATTATTATTATTATTATTATTAATCACCCTTCATCTGAGGATCATATGGCAGTTTACAATAAAAAACATGAAATATATAGCACAGTATGAGCTAAAAACAGTGCTCCAGTTTAAAACGGCATAGATTGTTCAATTAGCCAAAGGCCTGGGAGAAGAGAATGTTTTTGCCTGGTGCTTAAAGATATGTAACGAAGGTGGCAGCTGAGCCCGCCTGGGGAGAGAATTCCATAAGTGGGGAGCAAAAAGCCCCATTGTTGTGTTGTCACCCTCCAGACCTCTCATGGAGGAGGCACATGAAGAAGGGCCTCAGGTGAGCTTTTTCCAGCTCTTCACCATCCCTTCTTAGGTGAATTGACCAGAACTGTACATAGTGTACCAAGTGTAGGTCACGCCATAGATTAGTTTAACTGCATTATGATATTGGCAGTTCCTTAAGTGATGTTTGCTAGAATGGAATTCTAGCACAGCTGCACCCTGTGTCCACATTTTCACTGTGTTATCTGCTATGACCCAAGGTCTCGTTCCTGGTCATTCACCACTAGTTCAGATGCCATGGGTATATAAGTAAAATTAATAATTTTTTTAGCCTGGAATAAACCTCACTTCACACTTGCTTAAATTGAATTGCCTTTGCCATTTTACTGCTCATGAAACCAGTATGCAGAGATTATTTTGGAGTGCTTTGCAATCTGTCTTATTTTTTAATAACTAAACATTTTAGAATCATCAGCAAACATGACTGGCTAACTGCTTGGCTGTATGTTGGAGAGCAGTTCTTATATTATCTTACCCACTTTCTCTTTCTCCTACTTTCCTTTCTCTTTATCTTTCCAGAATTGGTGAAGGTGAATGTTTTCTCATGTCTAATTAATAGTTTAGGCATAGCCTAAACTGTGCATGGATATTTCTTATAGAAAATGTCCATTTGTTTTTGTGTTTTTTACATGTAAAACTTTTTCCCAAAGCAATCAAAGTACTTTTCTGTCAGATATCCAGATATCAATGTATAAATAACAAATAAAATAATGTTAAGGACATTTTACTTACACTGGGAGATCAATAAAGACATGAGAAGGGTGTATATTGAAGGAAAGCTTGGGGTACATGTAAAAGATATGAGATGCTATGCCACCAATGATAAGGTCCCCTTGTTCATACCACTCATGTGGAATATGCACAGGATTATTTCTGCTGCAACCAACAGTGTGCACTTTGGGCACCATATTGGGAAGGAGCAGGAGAAGCAGCAGCAACAACATCCTGATCCCAAATATCCTTCTACACATGGACTCTCCTTTGCCTCTCTACAATATTGTTACTATCATCAGTCTGACTTGAACAGGATGGATTTGATGGCAGCCAACTCTGGCAATTCAGTACTTAAGCAGACCTGTATCAACCTTTTCGTTAACTTCAATAATGTCAAAAAAATTGATCGAATGCTATATAAAATATCATGATTTGAGATCTAATTGATACAATGAAAAGCAAAACTCTCTGAAATAAAAGATCCTGGCCTCACCTCTCCTCCCTTACCATAGCTGTCTTTGGAACACCGGGGTGCTTTAAATCATTTCAGATTTACGTTTTCATTTTTTATTTCCCATTCTGCCTTCTGGAGCTTTGCTGGGTGAATTGATTATAATAATTTTAATAATTACAGGGGAGATAATCACTTTCGCAATGTTGTTGGACTCTGTGTTGCATCACCAGTAGGAGAACTGCCGAAGTAAACATGTCTGCCACATCACAGAATCAAAGGTTAGGAAGGGATCTCTAAGGCCATCTTGCCCAATCTGCTTGCTAATGCAGGACACCCATTGAAGGAATGGGTTTCCCAAATCTAAAACCTGACTGTGCAGTCAGTCTGAAACGGGACTCCAAATCCCCATTTTTCCTTCTCCAAGGATGCATTAGCTAAAAACCATTAACTTGAGCACTTGAACAAATGTGTAACAGGAACCCAGCTGTATAAACAAAGCTCTCTCCTTTATCAGTCCGTGACGCTTAATGGATGGCCTTGTCAGTTCCGAAGTGGAGTCAGGATGGCAGAGCTGGGGCTTATCTTATCTTGTGGGTTGTAAATATCCTGACACACTGACGCACAGAGCTTGCAAGAAACCCCCCCCCCCCCGCTCGGGGATGACGCCAGGAGTGCTCTTAGAGTTGGTGACCTTACCCCAAGATAAGGAATACAGGAACAGGAACACCCTTTTATGGTCAAGAGTACCGGAACAGGAACATCTGTTTATGGTCATGGATGTCAGCTTACGTGTATAAGCTGACGTGGCTGGATTCCTGGGGAGGGGGCAAGGGGACCAGAAAGGGTATATAAGGTGTGTGTAACTGCTCTTTAAGTGCTCTTGCTGTGAACTGATCACGCAAGTGCCTTTCTGCTGCTCCGGAGAGCAGAAATAAATAACTCTTTCTCTGAATCCACCTCGGTGTCATTTGACTTCCTTTTTCCCTCCCGGGAGCAACGCAGACCCCACCAATCGGTAAAGTCTAAAAAGGCTACACCATAACTAAAAAAATCCCCCAAACCCAAACAAAACACCATCTCTTCCTAGAATACCTTGCTGGGGCCTCCTACACTCTCTCAACTAAGTGACACTGATCAGACATTGCTATCCACCCCACTAACTAGATCTTGGATACAATGCAGGAGAGAGTACTAACCATCTCAAAATGTACTGGCCCTGACTAATGCAGTCTAGACTTTAGAAACAACACATATGTACTGTTTGAAGCAATGTGGCATGCATGGGAATCTCTCTGGCATCATCTAAAAACTGCTAGGATAGCTCAGTTGGTAGAGCATACTCTCAGAGTCATGCGTTAAAGCCCTATATTGGGCAAAATAATTTTTAGAGATAAGCCAACCTCATCCTTTCCCCACTTGTCTAATTTCCTATGGCTAGGGGTGCCTACACTCTGTGACACTTACTGGATCTTGGGAACAATGATGGAAAGGGTGCAACCCATCTAGGGACCCTGGATAATACAGTCTAGCTACTTTTGAAAGAGCAGGTATATATTGTTTGAAGTAGAGTGGCATGCTTGGGGATGTCTGTGCCATCCCTTTCTTACTCTGGTAAGAAGTGGTGATTCTGAAGGCTGTCAGGGTGGCCCATCAGTTTAAGGCAGTGATAGACAATGTTGCAGTATCCAGATGTTTCTGGACTATAGCTTCTATCATCCTTGATAATAATGGTCAATTGTAAGCTGATGGAAGCTGTGGTCCTGAAACATCTGGAGATGCACAGATTGTAAACCCTTGGTGTAAGGAAGGTTTGAGCTATAGAAAAATGCCTCATGTCTGGTGTGATCTTTAACTGTCAAGGCTTTGTCAAGTATTAGAACCCTCTTGAGACTCTTGAGAGTCCCATGGACTGCAAGAAGATCAAACCTATCCAGTCTTAAGGAAATCAGCCCTGAGTGCTCACTGGAAGGACAGATCCTGAAGCTGAGGCTCCACTACTTTGGCCACCTCATGAGAAGAGAAGACTCCCTGGAAATGACCCTGATGTTGGGAAAGATGGAGGGCACAAGGAGAAGGGGACGACAGAGGACGAGATGGTTGGACAGTGTTCTCGAAGCTACCAGCATGAGTTTGACCAAACTGCGGGAGGCAGTTGAAGACAGGAGTGCCTGGCATGCTCTGGTCCATGGGGTCACGAAGAGTCGGACACAACTAAATGACTAAACAACAACAAGAGCCCTCTGAGCCTGGAGCAGTATCTATGGCAAGGTGAGTCATTTCCTTTCTCCCTTCCTAGCCCCCTGTCAATCCAAGTATGAAATTCTAGAAATGTTGCTGTCCCAGTTTTAAAACGAGTTAGAGGTGTGTTTTTGCACCTAGAATTTCTCATGGAGTGACCATGTGATTTCCAGTTTGGAGCACTTTTAAATGCTCTGCTTCAGTTGGCTATTGAGGTGCCGTGGGGGTTGGTGATCATCAAGATGTTACAAATAATATAAATGAATAAGTACAGAGGCTTCAAAATGCACCACACAAAACATGACCCATGATTTAATAGAACTGCTGTCCCCATGAAATTGTCATTCATTTCTTAAAATAATTTGTTTATGGTAAGCTTGGTAATTAACACAGTGTCATTTGCCCAAGAAAACTCGAGAGAAGAAACACTGGTAACATGTTATATTTATTGACATATAACAATGATAGAATCTGCAATCAGAATAATTCAAACAAATTATCCAATACCAATGCAGTCTGGCTGGTGAAGAGGATTGATGGGAGCATTTCAACTCTCCCATCTCCTGAGCCAGTTGCCAGCCACACACAGTGATCACTCAGCAAGGCCTGAGGAAACTCCTCTGGCACTATCTCAGATCCAGTCCTGATTTAGTTCAAGAACTGACCTAATGCTTAATTTGTGGGGAAAGCTTTAATTAAGCATATGGCTGGGAGGGAAATGGGGGGCAGAGTTTGCATCTCTTTCCTATTCAGGATTGAGAGCTGGGGTGGTGGTGTTTCAATTCTGAAGGGTGCTCTTTTGCAAACAACTTATTTGTGGGGGCTGTTTTTGATGAAGCACCATACAGGACCTCTGTCTCTACTTAATAGCTGTATAATGAAGGCAGGGATGGGTGGGGCATCAGGTGGGAAGCAGAATTAAGCAGTCAGTCAAGCATTTACCTGGGAAGACACATCCAGAGCCCAGTTAGGGTTAGACCACATCAAAATTTTCCAGCCTGATGCCTGTGTTCACTTCCTGTCTGATTCACTGCAAGACAGCCACAGATAATTCTGGAGCATCTAAGTTGACCAGGAGTGATCTATAGCTGTTCCAGTTCGTCTTGACTGATGCCAAACTCCTTCCAAATAGACCCAACTTGGCTCAGGACTGCCAAATCCAATGCACAATCCTTCTAGATAGACCACTGCTCTCAGTATTAGGCAATATTCCTGTGTTTCTCTCCCTCTCCTCCCTCTGCAACTACCTATGTTCTCCCCAGACTTGCCCAGGAAAGAAAGAGCCCCTTGACCAAAATGTGGGACACTTATGGAGATGCAGGAGAAGGTAGGGAGGGGAAGAAAAATTCTGGTAATTTCCTGCTATAGGGCAGGGAAAATATACCCACAAGCAACCACATAGCCTAAGACCCCAAAAAACCCCCACAAAAACTTCTGTCATTTATACTTTTTTTGTGTCAGCTGCTGTCTGTTGTTAAGGTCAGGTCTCACCACAATAATGTAGCATTTTGGGAAAAAGAGGCAAGCCAGCAAGCCAGTACTGGAAGCCAAGATGGAGAAGATCTCCACAGCCACCATGTATTTTCCTCTGGTGCTCAGGTAAGTTGGAATAAAGGAGAGCCAAACACTGCAAAAGACCAGCATGCTGAAGGTGATAAACTTAGCTTCATTGAAACTGTCAGGCAACTTCCTGGCTAAGAAGGCCACTGTGAAGCTGACAGTGGCCAGGAAGCCCAGGTAACCCAAAACACAATAGAACATCAGGAATTGACCCTTCATTGCATAACACTACAATTTCTTCATTCATTGAGTTTGTATCCAAATCTGGGAAAGGGGGAGAGGCTCCAAGCCAGAAGGCACAGATTCCTACTTGAACCATAGAGGAGGAAAGGACAATGGAATAAGACAGTTCTTTTCCTACCCATTTCCTGATACTGGATCCTGGTTTGGTAGCCATGAATGCCAAAACCACTAGTATGGTTTTGGCTAAGATACTAGAGAGGGCCACAGAGAAGACAATGCCAAAAGCGGTTTGTCGGAGAAGGCAGGTCACCTTATTAGGTTTTCCAATGAACAACAAAGAACAGAGGAAACACAAGAGGAGGGAGATGAGGAGAATATAGGTGAGGCTTCTGTTGTTGGCTTTGACGATGGCTGTATCCCGATGCTTAATGAAGATGCTGAGCACCAGAATTGTGATCAGAGAGAATAGAAGTGCCGAGGTAGCTGAAACAATAGCCAAAGTTTCATGAAAAGCTAAGAAGTTTGGAATCTTAGAAATGCATAGATCCTGGTCTTTGTTTGGATATTGATCTGCTGGGCAACTGACACATGTTTCCATGTCTGAAAACAAACAAACAATGCATAACAATTTGAAGCAACCAATACTATTCTTAAGAATTTCCTCACCATTAGTCCATCTAGCATTGTATTTTCCATTTCAAAATGTTTCAAAACTTTCAGCCCCAATGCTTTTACCCTGGATCAGCGGTTCCTAATTAG